GATCATGACCTGAGACGAAGGCAGACGTTTAGTGACTGAGCCACCCAGGCACCCCGAGTCTTAACTCTTAAAGAGTAATTTTGAATTATTCAGTGTTTTATTACTTAGATTACTATGTGGAAAAATTTAATTGGATAATAAATGATAAGCTTAACTCCCTACCACCCTCTCTGGCCTTTAAAATTGGTGACAAACAGCTTCAGAAGAATAGGTATTAATTCTTCTTTAAATATTTGGTAGAATTCCCCTGGGAAGCCATCTGGCCCTGGGCTCTTTTTTGTTGGGAGATTTTTGATTACTACTTTAATTTCCTTGCTTGTTATGGGCCTGTTCAGATTTTCTATTTCTTCCTGTTTCAGTTTTGGTAGTTTATAAGTTTCCAGAAATGCATCCATTTCTTCCAGATTCCCTAATTTTTTGGCATGTTGGCATATAGTTGCTTATAGTATGTTCTTATAACTGTTTGTATTTCTTTGGTGTTGGTTGTGATCTCTCCTTTTTAATTCACGATTTTATTTATTTGGGTCCTTTTTCTTTTCTTTTTAATAAGTCTGGCCAGGGGTTTATCAATCTTATTAATTCTTTCAAAGAATCAGAGCCTAGCTTTGTTGATCTGTTCTACTGTTCTTCTGGTTTCTATTTCATTGATTTCTGCTCTAATCTTTATTATTTCTCTTTTCCTGCTGGGTTTAGGCTTTATTTGCTGTTCTTTTTCCAGATCCTTTAGGAGTAACATTAGGTTGTGTATTTGAGACTTTTCTTGTTTCTTAGAAAGGCCTGTATTGCTATATACCTCCCTCTTAGGACCACCTTTGCTGCATCCCAAAGGTTCTGAACTGTTGTGTTTTCATTTTCATTTGCTTCCATGAATTTTTTAATTCTTCTTTAATTTCCTGGTTGACCCATTCATTCTTTTTGGATGCTCTTTAACTTCCATGTGTTTATGTTCCTTCCAAATTTTCTCTTATGATTGAGTTCAGGTTTTAAAGCATTGTGGTCTGAGAACATGCAGAGAATAATCCCAATCTTTTGGTATTAGTTGAGACTTTATTTGTGACCCAGTATGTGATCTATTTTGGAGAATGTTCCGCATGCACTCGAGAAGCATGTGTACTTTGTTGTTTTAGGATGAAATGCTCTGAATATATCTGTGAAGTCCGTCTGGTGCAGTGTGCCATTCAAAGCCCTTGTTTCCTTGTTGATCTTCTGCTTAAATGATCTGTCCTTTGCTGTGAGTGGGGTGTTAAAATCCCCTACTATTATTGTATTATCATCAATGTATTTCTTTAATTTTGTTATTTATTGGTTTGTATAATTGGCTGCTCCCAAGTTAGGGGCATAAATATTTACAATTTGTTAGATCTTCTTGTTGGATTGACCCTTTAATTATGATAATTATCAGATGACTTCAATCATATGGGGAATTTAAGAAACAAAACAGAGGATCATAGGGGAAGGGAGGGAAAAATAAGATGAAATCAGAGAGGGAGACAAACCATAAGAGACTTTTAACTATAGGAAATAAACAGGGTTGCTGGAGGGGTGGTGGGTGGGAAGGATGGGGTAACTGGGTGATGGGCATTAAGAAGGGCATGTGATGTAATGAGCCCTGGGCGTTATATGCAACTGTTGAATAACTGAACTCTACCTCTGAAACTAATGATACACTATATGTTAATTAATTGAATTTAAATAAAATAAAATTTAAAAAAGAAAATAAATAAAATAAAATTGATGACAAAGATAGGCTTATTAGTAATGAGTTAATTGACAAAAACAAGGCAAAATCCTGGAAATAAGTAGCAGTGCTCTTCATCCAATACATAAGATGTGTTAGTATTTAATAGAGATTTTAACCACTGTGTTTGAAAGGTAACTAAAGGATGTGGCCAAAATCTAGTAACATGGTTTACTCAAAATGATATATCTACACAAGCAAATCCAAATAGGTGATTATATAGTTACTGCCCCACCTATACACCAAGACATCTCTTCCGATGTGGCCATAGTCAATGAAAATAAAATAGGGTGTAAAAATCACCTTACCTCTTCTGCATGTTGGCATCCCTACCTGGAAAGAGAAATGGCAGAATCCCTTCTCTTATGTATTTTATGCCAATGCTTGGCATGTCATTCACGTGTCTGTTTCCCCTCAATTAATTATCTGCCCTTCCCCTGCTCTTATCTGTCTCTTAAGGAAATATATTTCCCAGGCTTTTTTGCTCTCTGTTTTCTAGGTACATTTAGTCAATGAGAATCATCAGAGAGAGATATAAGGATGGAAGAAGAGGAGAAGACTCTCTTTGCTTTCTTTGGCATGTCCTTTGCAGCTTTGGATACTCTCTATCATCAGGTAAACTTTCGCCAGGTGGTCCTGGCCCCTGGTCCTGCCAGCATCATCTTTTTTTCTCCCTGTTTATCATACTTACAACGATGAAAAACTAAAGCCAAGGTGCTAAAATCTTCCTTATATTCAATTCATTCCATCTAGACAGAGGTTTAAACCAAAGTTAAAATTTGTCATTTGTGCCTGTTGTCACTCCAGAATTATCTAAACTATGCTACCTTTATTAATAAAGAAGAATCAGATACATCCTGCTGCTTAGAATATTTTTGATGCCTACTTTTAGATATTTAATGTGTGGCTTATGGGTTCTCAATAAGTATGGCATGAAAAGATATGAAAAGCCAGCATTCTTGACTTTTTAGTTTATTACCATTTCAAATGTTCATACTTGACCTGATGCATTCCAACAGAGCATAAATCTTTCATCTGCTTCTCTATAAATAACTAAACTGTCATTTAAAGTCACTTCTATTCACTCAGTTTAACACAGGGAAAAATCCAGGCAGCTGTTGATGAGCTTTTTTCAGAGTATCCTACAGAAAAAAAAAAGTGGCACTTGAGAAATCAGTGTGTTACCCTCTATTTGATCCCATGGTTTAGCCATATCTATGAGAGACTAACAAAAGGCATGTTGAAAGTCAGCAAAATGTCAAACACCTTTCTTTTCAGCTTGCATTAATTTTTCCTCAATAAATTCTATTAGTCTAAATTTCTAGTTTGAAAATTATGGCTTGGATACATAGCACACCTTTATGAAAATTCACATCTATTTAAGAAGAGCATGTGGTATGGGATATGGTAAGGTCTCTTTAAAATTATTACTTATAGAGTTGCCTTTAGAGTTAAATATTTTCATATCACTTTGGATGTACTGAGCCTCAAGGTGTGTTTGAATTTACTGAGGATTGAGAGTAATGAGGTTACAGTGCCCAGTCTGGGAATGTGTGTATTCACTTCTTAAGAGAAACTCCAAAAATCACATTGAACTTGTAAGTTCTGAGGAGGACACACACACACACACACACACACACACACACACACACATATGCTTACAAAAATGGATGTTATTAGTTTCCTTTTGCTGTTGTAACAAATCACCATAGACTTAGTGGCTTAAAATAGCACAGATTTATTATATTGCCATTCTGGAAGTCAGAAGGTTCAATTGGACCCAGGCAAGGTGCTGGCAGGGCTGTGTATTTTCCTGGGTGCTCTAGGGGAGAGTAGTTCTTTCCCCTTTTCCAGCCTCTAGAACCTACCAGTATTCTTTGGCTCACAGCCTCCTTTCATCTTCAAAACCAGCAATGGCATCACTCGGACACCAGACATCGACTCTTCTGTCCCTCTCTTCCATCTTTCACGGACACTTGTGATTGCATTAGGCTCAAGGCTCGAGGGAAAATCTAGGATATTCTCTTTAATCTTAAAATCAGCTGATTGGCATCTTGAAGTCCACCTGTAACCTTAATTCCCCTTTGCCATGTATCATGACATATTCACAGGATCCATCTTTCTACCTACCTCAGTGGGCAACCATCAGCTATCCTAAAATTAGCAGTTCAGCATTTGTCGTATAGTTTTTAAAATTCTTGGTCAATTTCTTTATCAAGATATCATAATCTGATATTTTTAGGTTTAGAGATATATTTCAGGATCTATCTCCAGATAAGACTATTTTATAGACAAAAAAATATTTTTTTCAAGTGGTCATAGATATACTCTTTTATGTTACTAAGAAACTGTCTGAGAGTGATCAAAAATTATTATTATATAGATTTATCTCTAACATGCTATTGATTTCCTGGGTACGAATCATTTTAGGTAAGTTTAACTTATGAGGTTAAACTATATGACTTTCAGTCTTGAATGTTCCTATTTCTCTTTAAATATATCTAAATACCTGGTTTCTATTTTTAAATTAGCCCAACAATGTTTTCCTGCCTAAGTAATTTGAAGGAGGCAAATACTCTTTTGTGTTAATGATGTTGTTCTATAATGATTTTCTAAAGCCAAATGTAAAAGTAAATGAAAAATAAAAATTATTAGGAAAAAAACACAAAAAACAAATCAGAACTGAATCATATTGTGCAGTAAAGGTTTGAAAAAGCTATTAAAATGCAATACCATAATAATATAGTAGAAACAACACCAAACATATCCCTATAACCATCAATGGAAACATGCTAAACTCACCTACTAAAAGACTTTCAAATTAGGGACACCTGCGTGGCTCAGTCTGTTAAACATCTGACCCTTGATTTCAGCTCAGGTCATGATGTTAGGGTTGTGAGATCGAGCCCCGCGTTGGACTCTGTGCTGGGTGTGGAGCCTACTTCTCTCTCTCCCTCTTCTCCTCCCCCCACCCCTTCTCTCCCTCTTTCTCTCTCTCTCAAAAAAAAAAAAAAAAAAAGACTTTCAAATTACAGCAAAAGTCAAAATCTAATGAAAAACTGAATGCAAGAGACGCAACTACTATAAATCAATTCATGATGATGGAAAATAAAAAGATGAACAAAAGTACAGATCATAAAAGCCTGTGGTTATGGTTGTGGTATCTGACAAGGCAGAATTCAAGGAAAAAAATCATTAAACAAGGCAGGAAAGCCTTATGTAAAACAAGTAGTTTGAAATGAAGGCCAGAAGTCACAAATACCTGCATGTTGAACAACAGAGCCAGGGACCAAGGGAGAAGAATGGGAAGTATTTCTAAATGGAGTATTCTCTCCTTTGTTGGGGTCTTCTCTCACTCTGTCTGCTTTGTCCTCTGTATTTGCTTTCTGAGATCCTGGTTGTGCCCTTGGGTGAGATAGGGGCCAGTTTAAGCTCCTTTTGGGCTCAGTTTCTGAACATGAATATCCCACAGTGACTCGACAAGATGCTTCCCCCATACAGTCTCCACTGTGTCAGCTCATGAACTAGATTCCCCAGACGTGTATAGACCTCAGAACAAGCAGAGACTGATAGAATATGATGGAAAACCTCAATTATATGTTTAGTTTGCTTTGATTTGTATTAAGTGCTGTGTCATTCCATTCACACTTTTTTTCTCTTTTTTTTATTATGTTATGTTAATCACCATTCATTACATCATTAGTTTTTGATGTAGTGTTCCATGATTCATTGTTTGCGTATAACACCCAGTGCTCCATGCAGAACGTGCCCTCTTTAATACCCAGCACCAGACTAACCCATCCCCCCACCCCCCTCCCCTCTAGAACCCTCAGTTTGTTTCTCAGAGTCCATAGTCTCTCATGGTTCGTCTCCCCCCATTCACACTTTTCATACGGGCTGTGCTAATTTCAAAATATTAGCCACTATAACTGAAGTTTAGGAACATAAAATAATATTTTAAAAAACCTACATCTATCTTTCTGCTTTGTTGGACTCTGTCTTAGTTTCCATCTTTGATGTCTTCAATATACATCAACAAGGTATTTGCATAAAGATTGTAAATTGCTCCTTCATAGTCTATTGCAAGAATGGCCAGGTTCCTTTATTTCTCTAAATTAAAGAAAAAATTCCCTATTGGCCGAGGTTGATGAGAATGCTGCTGTCATATGTTCTTTGGGGATTCTCCACCCTCCTTCCATTAATCATCCAAGAGGACTTATGGCCTATGTGTGTGTTGGTACAGAAAAGTGACACTGGACAAGATATGTGAACAGAAGTTGATTTTATTCCTATATTAACACCAGCAATAGGGACAAGAGCTCAGACCAGCTCTAGATACCCAGATCTATTAAAACAAAGAACAGGAGAATATTTAAGAGCTGGGGTAGAGGTGGGAGGGGGTCAGGGAGTGGTCTTAAACCACCTGTGTTTGCTAATTGGCTTTACCCAAGGGAAAAGTAAACTTCTCCCACTCACAAGACAGGAGGTAGATTTACAACTTGGAGCCAGGTTCCCACTGAATTAGGCTCCTATCCTCCCACAGAGAGTAGAACATAAGGACACTATGTTCCCAGATAATTACATTTCTTTCTGTCTTTTTTTTTTTTTTTTTTTTTTTAAAGAGAGAGAACACAAGCAGGGGAGGGGCAGAAGGAGAGAGAGAGAGAACCTTAAGCAAGTTCCACGCCCAGCATGGAGCCCAACACGGGGCTCAATCTCATGACCCTGAGATCATGACCTCAGGGGAAACCAAGAGTAGGATGCTTAACTGACTGAGGCACCCAGGTGCCCCCAGAGAATTACATTTCAAAGCGATGGCTCCTAGATCCTTGAGAATGACAGTCTGGGATTGTAAAATTGGCAAAAGGTTTTTAAATAATTTTTAAGTTAAAAGAAATGTACATCTCAAAGGGATACAGAAATTAACAATCACAATTTCTCTAAGGTAAATGCTGTAAGAAAAGAGAGGGAGGGACCTCTGTGCTTAGGCCCCCTGGCTTCTGTAAGGGCTGAGACCTGGTGGAGGTGGGGGCCTATGGAGCCCTGCAGTGCTCAGGTCCCATGCCAGATCCTACCAGACATCAGAGCAGCCCAGGACTCTGTGGCTTCTCTGCCCTTCTTGTAAGAGAGGAGGGATTTCTTCCTTCCTTTATTGGCTGACAGGTATGCAGTAGCAAAAAGAAGAGATCCCTAAATAATTTCTCAGAGGTTCCTGTGTTATAGAACATAGCATATACACAAATACTGAACAGATGACTTGCAGATGGGCACTAAGAGATCCTGGAAGACCTCAGGCTGCAAATCTCTTCACCTTACTCATTACTGCTTGATCCCTTCATGTTGCCAACATGAGTATGAAAGCTTGGAAGACAAGTGCTTATACTTAGAGGCTTCCAAGAGTCTGCCAAAATCTCTGTGAAGTTCCTGAGGAGGAGCAGGAATTCTTTACTTGTCCTGGCTTATGAAGGGGGGGAGAACACGTCGTCCCAAAATATGGCTCTTTGGCATGTCAAAAAGAAAACCACAGGCCCAAAACAGAGTCCCTCATGCTAGGCCTTTCAAACTAGGGCTTAATACCTAATGTAATTGCAGATTCAATCTCCGCCAGAAATGTACTTGTCTAGTCAGCACCAGACAGGTTATCTGTCCTATGGGCCCTATTCATTCCCCTCTCCCCAAGGGAAGATGAGATAACCCACCTAATGAGAACCCCTGCTCTTTTCCTAAGGGAGAGTAACCTTTCCTGGAACAATCCTTCCTTTTCTTTTGCTGGTAACTTCCTTGCCCCACTCTCTTTCCTATAAAATCTTTCCATTTTGTATAACTCAGATTCCTTTGTACTCTCTTGATGGGATTCTGCCCAGTTCATGGATTGCTTAATAAAACCAGTTAGATCTTCACGTTGGTTGGATATTTATTCTTTCAGAGGCATAAGAATTATTTGGGGTTATTTTTATTTTTTTTAAAGATTTATTTATTTGTTTGAGAGAGAGAGAGAGAGTGCTCACAGGAGCGGGGGGAGGGGCAGTGGGGGAGGGAGAGAGAGAATCTCCAACAGACTCCCTGCTGAGTGCAGAACCTGATGCAGGGCTCAATCCTAGGACTCTGAGATCATGACTTGAGCTGAAACCAAGAGTCCAATGCTTAACTGACTGAGCTGCCCAGGCGCCCCTAGGCTGATTATTTTTAAGAAACAGTAGACACAGGGAAAGCTCTGAAAACCTAATGAAGTTACCCTTTTGTAAGACACATTTACATTTAGGAGGGAAATCTCCATTTGTTTTTTTTGTTTTTTTTTTTAATTTTTTTTAAAGATTTTATTTATTTATTTGAGAGAGAGAGAATGAGAGACAGAGAGCATGAGAGGGAGGAGGGTCAGAGGGAGAAGCAGACTCCCCGCTGAGCAGGGAGCCCGATGCAGGACTCGATCCAGGGACTCCAGGATCATGACCTGAGCTGAAGGCAGTCATTTAACCAACTGAGCCACCCAGGCGCCCCGGAAATCTCCATTTGTAAGGGTGTCTCCCTTGATGTCCAGGAAGAGGAGGATGATTATCTCTCTAGAAACTGTTATCAATGGGGAAGGCAGAGACTTAAATCTACAAAACCTTATATTTATTTACTGTGCTTTTCCTGAAGATCTCCCATACCTGATTTCCCTAACCCCAACATGTTGTTATTAGCTGAAGATGATATTTAAAGTGGTGATTTGGGTCATCTCAGGGAGTCATTTAGTTTCCTAAATATCGCCCATGCATACAGGAGGTATGCATGTTATTAAATGTCTGTTTGTTTTTCTCTGGTTGATCTGTCTTTTATTACAAGGGTGTCTCAGCCAAGGGCTGGAAGAGTGGAGGGAAAATTACTTTTCCTCCCCCACCCGGCTCCATGCTATTCAGCACCTCCATTATCCTCTCCAAGGCAGTGAGCCACCCACTCTCCTGGTTTAGGACATGATAGTCACTTCATTTCCACAGTCCTGAGAAGCCCTCTGCTGGGTGACAGCTGTTGTCTGTAGAACAAGAGCAGTCTTAAGGAGAAATACCCATGAATGCTCCTTGCCAGTTCTCTGGTGGATAAAATTACCCTCTTCCCTGGGAGTTGCCATTTTTCATACCCTTTGCTAGACTATTTTTCTCTTGTTCAGGAAGGCATGCATGTGATTTGCTGGATGGACAGTGTCCTTCCTGGTCTTAGACTTTGGTAGACTCTACAGTTTGCATTCGGTAGTAAACATCAATTTGCAATATGATTGAGGTCAAATTCAAATTTATCAAGTAGGGAAAAAATGCCCAGCTGGTTGTCATGGAGCTACACAGAGGATCACTGTCAGTTAAAAGAGGAGAAACTTGGACTTCCTCCATTAACTGAACCCAAACCAGCAAACTTCAGACCATCCAAAGGGAAGAAGTCACTGATTTTCTGAAGCCAGGCTTTTATAGATTAGTTCTTTTCTTTTTCTTTTTTTTCTTTTTAAAATTTAAGTTCAATTAAGTTCCTTTCAGATTATACCATAACACTCTCTTTCATAAACATGACACCTCATTTTTAATCAGAAAAGCAAATGTAAAATACATGAAAGGTTCAAACACAACATTTTTGAAATAAAATTTGAAAAAGCTTTAATTTTTCTTTTTTTTTAGAATTCAAGTGGAGAAATGAGTGCACCATTTAAATGTTAAATTTCTCCCACCAGCCACAAGCTAGTCAACATGTTTGTACCTTCCACAGGCTTCATACCACACAGTATTTTTAGAGCAGGTGAAGGCTGAAAGGAGAAAGACAAGTTTCTCCCATAGCAGGTGACAATTTTGATTACCCTGATCTCCTAAATTATGTGTTCTGCAAACTAAATATTTTTATTATTGTTTAACTAATGAGGAGGAAAACGAGAACAGGTATTCAATTTTAAATCTATGTTCTAATGCAGGCGAATAGTTTTCAATTAGTTTGATGGCAGAATGAAAGGAGGTATTTTAAAAAATTATTTTAATTATAACATACTGCATATTCATGGTACATATTAACTTAATATCTTTATTTAATTGTAGGCTTCATTGCTGAATTAGTATGCCGCTCAGCTTAAAATGCAGGGACCAGATCTTGTTGCTGTTTGTTAATTAATATTAGAGCCCGTTTACACTTTTGGTATATTTTATTTGGTAGTGATTATGAAGCCAAGGTGAAGGAGGGCAATAGACCAACATGACTGTAATCGAAGTGCATTAGAAGGTGTTACTTGAGCTAGCAGTCCCAGGTGGAACTTAATAATGGCCTTGGAATTTTCTCAACCCGAAATCATCTAAGCACCAATGCCACAAGACACGACAGCATGGTGACACGGGATAGCACAGTGGCCCTCTGGCAGCTCCCCGGAAAGTCAAATGGGGTTTCCAATATTTAGCTGCACTGAGGTAGCTTCACACAAAAACAAGGAAGAAAATCATGGCAGGAGAGTGGGTGTTTAGAAGTACTACACACATATCCCTGGATGGTTCACATTTTCTTAAAAAGGTAAACAGGAATTCTTTGATATAAAGCCTCAGTGATTCATGAAGAAACATGTTCTGTGGGTTGTCTTCTCAATAAAAAGCCATACATATTTATTATTGGAAATCTGGAGAAATAAATTTATAACAAAACCAAATATATATGTGTGTGTTATTTGTTAAATATAACAAAACCTCACTAAAGCCTAAAATACTGTAAAGATTTGGGACTTTGTTCATCTCTTTTCTTCTTAGCTCATCTCTAGTATGAACTTCTCTTGCTAGCAGGG